TATATAATTATGTATATTGTTTTATGTATTGCATTTATATTTACGAAATAAATTATATTATAATTTAATATTGCGTAACATGGGAATACACAGGGACAAACTTATTGGGTATGTATATAATTAAGTACAATTCATCTATTTTCAACATCTGCAAATTTCATATTACATACTTATATAAACTTTTGTAAATATCACATATATTTAAAAAATTTATATATACATTAGTCACTTGATAGTGACTAATATAAATATAAAAAAACCTGAGAAATACTGATGTATTTCTCAGGTTTTTACTAATAATTCATTGTATTATGTAATTTTACTATAATTTTTTATTATCCTACTATCCATTTATATCAATTTCTTACATTTCATAATGCTTTACTTTTCATTTTTTATGTATTACCATAGTTAGTGTCATCTCTATCAAATTCTTTATTTCAAATTATTTTTTCAGAATTCATTCGACAATCAATCAATCATTGGGCTGGTGATCTGGGTGTGCAGTGTCCTGTACTCCAGCATCCGCACCGCTTCTAGCTCCTCTAAGATCACCATGTCTGAGCACATACTAGCCAAGGACGGCAATGCAGGTGAATATATCATTTCTCACTTTGATATCGCACCATTGGGAAATTTATAACAAATAAGTTAATATGAAGGAAGCAATCAAATATATGATAAACTGATATTATAGTTAACACTGTCTAAAAATAAATTAAGTAAATGTTGGTTTAAATATTTGGGATAAATTTAAATTTCTCGAAACCAGTTGGGTTTTGAATCCAAAAAAAATATTTTTTCACTTATTGTATACTGCATGAATTGTATAGCATGCAATAATAATAATAATATCTATTCGCGTTAAACTCAAGGAAAGCATAACTGTATTGAATTTTTTTTTAGTATTTTATTTTTGTTATATTTTTATTTTAATGATTCCTGTAATATTAATGTATTGTGCATTCCTTGCGGACGTAACGCGCGCGGCACCGCGGCGTAAGGGCAAGGAGGTCTCATTGCTAACGAAGGTAAATCATCTCAAATGCTTATATAAACTATAAAAAATATTTTTCTTAATACATTGCCTTCTTGCTTTGGTAAAGGGTTTGTATCAACTTACTTTAATTGTTGTGAAGTGTAGAACGGTAGCAGACATGTATGGACCTAGATGAAAATTTCACATCAAGTCATGATTTAAATTCAATTTTGACACATTCACTTTCATTCATGTATTCGTGAATCTGAACGTGTAACAATAATACTAATATTATTAATAACGTATTGTCATATCGGATACGATAATTCTGCTTAATACAATCATATTAATTTTCTTTTAATAATCCATTACATCATATAGTTGATACTATTTCATATCATGTTGTGATATCATTGAAATTTTTGTAAAAAAAAATGTTAAATCTAATGTGGTTGTATGTGGTACGCTCACTGAGCGCAGGCTATGGTTCCGTAGAGGGCGACGGCGGTGAGGCGGCACGGGGTGCGGGAGACGCGGAGGCCAAGGTGGTGGACAACGAGGGAGACGGCGTGGCGTACTCCTGGACCTTCTTCCACGTCGTGTTCGCGCTCGCCACACTATACGTCATGATGACACTCACCAACTGGTTCAAGTATGTATTCATGTAACAACACGTTTACTTCTTACAAATATCATAAATGCGAATGTTTGAATGGATTCGAAGGTAATTCCAGAATTGCTGCATGGATCTCGCTGAAATTTGTTATAGATGTAGAAAATAATCTAGAAGAACACATAGGCTAATATTTTTTTTTTTACTTCGCGTAGACTGTCGCAAGCGACATCTAGTAGATTTATAACTAATCGGATGAACGGATTCAGATATAGAGATTTAACTGTCTGGAATACAGCCAAGGGTACTTAGTACTTACTGTTTTTATTCAACGCATACAAATTTGGGAGCGACAACTAGTTATGACTTGAGAAATTAGTAAAGCTCGAAGTTAATAAAATGTTTATTTGCAGCCCAAGCTCTCAACTATCTAAGGAGAACGTCGCATCAATGTGGATCAAAATCACGTCCTCGTGGCTATGCGTCGGCCTCTACGTGTGGACGCTCGTCGCCCCCGCTGTCTTCCCCGACAGGGACTTCAGCTAAATTATAAAGTTCTAATGTTAAGATTAATTGTGCATTGTTAATATATTCTTGGCAGTTAAAAATGCTGTATTCTAGATCTCAATATTAATCAAATCTTATTCTCTTCTTTACTTATTCGTATCTTATCTGCTATTCAATCTTTCAGTCTTTGCATTCTCTTGCACTGTTGTCTAATGTTTGCTATTAGAGCTTTAAATAATCGCTGTTAAATTAGAATTTATTTTTAAAAGTTAAATATATTACGTAATTCAACCCTGAATATTTCTTTCATTTATTCCTTTTTACACTAAATAATAACAAGGTTAAACATGATATTGATCATTTGAGAGATCAGAACAAAATACTGTTTTCCATTACAAAAAATAAAATCGGTAAGTAAAACTTCTTTAGCTTATAATCAAGTTTAAAAAATAATACGATTTTTTTATTAAAATATAAAATTGTGTATTTTTAAATGATTAAAATATAAACAATAATCTTACTCTAAGTTACACTTTAATCAGATCTATATCTTTCTTAACTTCATATTTTAAAAGTTTTGCATAATTTTTTAACAATTTCCTCCAATAACATTTCACATCTTTCACGGTTAAATTATCCCAAATTTGTTGAAAGCCACGATCAGCTATTTCTTTAGCTAAAGAATCGTTTTGTTGAAAATATTCTATATATTTAATTATTTCCTCTTGATTAGCTTTAGGACTAATGGGTATATAATGAACCCATGGTTTTAAGGATGGATAAAAAAATTCAAGCCAATCATTCCCAACATGGAATACCAGCGATTTACAAAGAAATAAATGTTTGAACCGGAAACTAGCTGCAACTCCTCTGTAGTTGAATAGATATTTGTATTTGCAGTGTTCTTCAAAAGAGACTTCGGAGGCAGGTGGGGCATATAGAGTGTCCTGAAAGAATAAAAAAAAGACACTTTAGTTCCAATAATGGTTGTACTAATGAATAGTAATGTTTATATAAATTAATGTATGTCTTGTTATCTAACACATACCGCATCTGATTTCCAAGCCTGATTTTTGGTATACTGAGCATCCACAAGTTCGGGTCTGGAACGGGACAACAATATCAAGGCATCTCTTTCTTCACTTGTTCTTGATCCTCTGAAGAATACCTGACTCTTTTTCTCATTCCACGGCCATCTAGAATAAATGTCATGGCGTAAATGAAATGGATTAGATATATGACTGAATGTATGTGTATATTGTTTCTCACTTCTCGGCTGCTTCTGATATTGACAGCCTGTGCTTATCCCAGCGGCCTATTCCTGTAGGATACAATGATATGGCTGGCCCACCTTCCCAGAAACTCCAGGCAGGATACATAATATCATAGTAATCCTTAGTCTGAAATAAAACAGAATGATTCCTATTAATTCACATAACTTTACAAGAAAAAATTGTCGACTAATTTCCAACATTGAATTATTAAACAATAAAGATTATATTATATTCAACATTCCTTTAAACAGCTTACATTCTAGCGCTCAATAAACAAATGGATTTTTTAAAGGATTAAGTTAAATTTGACTTAATATGAACAATGAAATTAGCATAAGCATTTAAGATTATTTTCAGTAGAAAAACTTAACCTTACTGAAAGATAATACTGGAACTTTCTGATGACCCCAGGCTCGGTTGATTTGTGGCCAGTCTCTTGTATTGATAACTAGTTCCATGTTAGGCAACTTGGGTGCCAGGGCCACAAGGTAATGCTCCACACCAGCACATCGTGATGGAAAATGACAATCTTTCTGCCTATACACTTTTCTATCTATAATCTGCAAAAAATTTAAAATACTTTAGCTGCACATATTCTAATATAATAACAATTTTAAGTCTGAAGAATACACAAAAAACTGATTGATATAAACCTGATATTTAGTACCCTTTGTAACAGCTATATCAAATTGTTCCTTAGTTATTCCATCTTTAAATGGTGAGAGATCGTGATTAATAACATCTTCATGGCATTTACAATTAGTATTTTCACATGATTTATAATTATCAATTGCTTCTTTTATATTTTTATTTATCATTTTGGTCCATTCATTTATTTCTGTGGAACAATTTCAATACTTAGAAATGATCTGACTATGAAATGATGATAATAACGATTGAAGATTTGCCATCTCAATTCACATAATGACCAAATAATATTATAACTTGAATACTTATGTTTTCTAATTGAGTTAAAAAATAAACATTAAAATATTAACTTCAAGCAATAACAATATGACAATGTGAACTAAACATACCTCGATTATATCTGTTTTTGTTTTGTACGCAATCTGAGTCTCCGTTTTGAAGGCAATGTTCGGAAGCATCATGAGATCGTAAATTTAGTAGCAAATACAATAGGATACAAATGTTCATGTTTATAATTTAACCGAAAGGACGCCAAAAGCCATGGGGAAGACGTCAAACTTAAACGTCATTGGTCATTGGATTTTGATATTTCTATTTCCAACTGTCAACTATATGTCAAACTTGCTTAACGCCAAAGAATATAAACCGACAAAATCTGACCCAGCGGGCATGTCACTAAATTATGCCAGGTCACAAAACAAAAAAAATTAACCCGCCACGGATGATTTTAATAATGGTTCCCCTACCTTTCCCTCACCACTTCTAGTGCAATTATTTCACATTTGACCCAATACATTTGAATAATTTCTGAATTTGAATCAAAGGAGTACAATGTCTCGGTCGCTTATATTGTTGTGTATTATTTTTTTTATTATTTTAGGATAGGGAGTAACAAAAAATACATAAATTTAAGATGTTTTTATTAAAATACAATCTGATTTCTAAAAGTATAAATTTCTTAAGGCAAATCCAATCTTGAAAAGCACCAAACTCATTTAAAACATTATTGTATGTAAATGTTTTGTTCAATGAAAATACTTCCACTAAGATTAACTCAATAAGTTTTGATCGTTTTCTTACGCCACCCACTTGTACACGAAGAGTTGAGGAGAATGGATGGATCAACCAATCCAACATCAAGTTATAAAACCACTTTTAATTGAACAGGCAAGATCTTTAAAACAGTTTACTGTTAGTTTTTACGTAAGAAAATAATAGTTGTGGAAGCAACAAACATAACAATAGGACTTTACCAATCAATTTCAATATTTTGTAAATTTGAGTTATCCATCAATTTACTAATTTGTATAAATCTGAAATTTAAGTTTAAATTTATAACAAAATTGTTTTACTTAAACATTTAAAAAATGCATATACTTCAATATAAAAAATGATAAGGACAATCTTAAGTACTATAAAAATGCCACAAAACCTTGGATTAATAGCTTAGAACAAATCTTTTAAATATAGATTTTCATTTCACTGTTTTACTTATAACAATATATATCTCTATAATAGTTATAATTCATTAAAATTTGTGACTAAATTGTGCACGGATAAAAAATTGAATTTAAGTGACATTAAATTATTGTCTACTTAGATAACTTATGGTCAAGTTGGTCCGCGATGGCTTGCAGGAAGTCCTCAGTGTGGAGGTACATGCCCTCCTTGGTGTTCGCCAGACCGTGGATGCAGATAACCAAGTCCTTGGTCATTTTGCCACTGTCGATACATTCAACGCAAGCCTGAAATTAAATAAAGTTTTAATAATATAAAATCCATTACGTTCGGAATTACAACATTGATTTTGTAAAAAAGAATTAAACAAGTCCGTACGATTTTAACCTGTATTTTTGTGGTGCCTTTTGTTTTTAAAGTTTACTTTATTTGGAAATATAGACATGGTAATACAATTTTGTTCAATGAACAGGAGATTATTTTCAAATACATAACAGAAAAAGTCTCTTGGTAATCGATTTTTTAAAATAAGTAGCAATAAATATCGTTATTAAATTATCCAAATCGTATTCCTATCTCAACTGTATATCCGCAATGCTTATATAAGGCAAATAAAATATCTTAATTATGATAATATATAGTTGATATGTAGGCTAATGGACAATCAATGATGCGGGACGGCACAGTTTCACTAGATAACTCGGTGCACTTCTGTTGAATTATCTACATTTACACTATTCCAAGCTCTGCTATCAGAATGAAAAATAATGCGTCAACGAATCATTATATAATACTTAAGACGAAATAGAACAACTATTTTTATTTGAAAGTCATTGTAGATAAAAATGATGACTTCGATTTCCATGAAGTGGAAGCAATTTCGTGTTTCATCTGATGTGTGCTTGCCGAAGGCCCAATTTAGTCATCTTTCCCTTCCCAACTTTTTCTTGTAAGGAACGTGAGTGAAGTAGAAAGGGGAAATATTCCCATTCTGTGCGTGCAATTCAATCCAAACCTATCAGTTGCGGATTTCTATGGGCAGCGGTCGCTCCGCTATTTCTGCGAGTTTACGCTGCCGCTTGCTAGTTCTTTGTTTTATGATATAAAAAATATGAGAAAGAACGGACCTCCTCTAGAGCGAGAGCGAAGTGGTGCAGTTCAGGCGTGTTGTCGAGCTTGGCGCGGTGCATGAGGCCGCGGGTCCAGGCGTAGATAGAGGCGACGGGGTTGGTGGAGGTGGGCTTGCCCTGCTGGTGCTGGCGGTAGTGGCGCGTCACCGTGCCGTGCGCCGCCTCCGACTCCACCGTGCGCCCATCCGGACACATCAGCACTGACGTCATCATGCCCAGGGAACCGTAACCCTGTAAACATACACATTTGTAAACGAACCTCTACTATTTTACTATTTATACATAAATCCAACATTTATTTCAACAACTTCTAAAAAATATAATGAATAAATTATTAGCTTTAATTGCATAAAACCATTCTATTTTTGTGTACGCGAATCGATGAGTAATAGTCAAGATACTCAAAATGTAATTGCCATTTTAAAAAAGTATTTAAATTTAAAAATGCATAAAAAGTCAATAATACTAAATATTTAATGTTTCCTTAGCCTTACTCGAGTACAAGAGTGCAAACCTGTGCGACAATATCTGACTGCACGTCGCCATCGTAGTTCTTGCAGGCCCACACGAAGCCGCCGGAGCTCTTGATGGCCTGCGCCACCATGTCGTCGATCAGCCGGTGCTCGTACCAGATCTTAGCCTCCTCGAACTGCTTCTTGTACGTGCTGTGTAAATTACAGCATATAAAAATATCTTACAGCAACAATATTACGGTAGAAAAATCAATAATCGAGACTTACCTTTCATATATTTCTTGGAAGATATCCTTGAAGCGACCATCGTAATGCTTAAGAATAGTGTTCTTTGTGGAGAGGTAAAGCGGCCACTTCTTTTGTAACGCTACCTGTTGAAGAGAAATGAAAAAAAATGAAAAATCAATAACACATGTGGCAACATAAGGTTATTAAGCTGTGTTCTTTTATCAACACATAAAAGTTTAGGTTCATTCCCTCTTCGCCATTACCTAAATTATAAGACGCATAAAGCGATAATAAAATGACTTAGTAACTGATCATACGGCGTTAAAACAAAACGGGTGTTAATTTTGTACAGTAATAAAGTATAATATTGTATTATAACGTATGGAGAAAGTCAATTAAGTCTATTGGAAGTGTTGCAACGGTGTCAAGGGCAGAGTAAAAGATATACTTACTTGAAAACTAGAATGCGCAAAAGCTTGTATAGACTCGTCTGTGTTGTACATGCCCTGTGCTACTCCGGGCGATTTGAAGTCGAATAACAAACGCCTCTCCGTCGTGCCGTCTGCTTTCGTGTACACCATCTCCACCTATTTATTTTATTAATACTACAATTTGATTGAAAACAAATGAAAATCCTAAAAAAAACGTCTAAAGAAAGATTTTTCATAACTCAAACAAAAATAAAATTAATATTTCGACAATTTTAATAAAGTACCAAAATAAGACTACAAGGCATGCGAGATCCTTAAAAGCTACTACATAATATTATAAACAGATATATTGAAATATGTCTGTTACCTTGCCAGGGTGTGGCACGACAAAGTCCTGAGCCTTGTACTGGTCGCCGTGCGCGTGCCTGCCGATGATGATGGCTTTAGTCCAGCCTGGCACCACACGTGGGATGCTCTTGCACAGGATGGGCTCGCGGAACACCGTACCACCCAGGATGTTACGGATCGTCCCGTTAGGGCTCAACCACATCTTCTTTAACTTGAACTCTGACGGAATATTACGAAATGTCAGTAACATTGCTACCTTTTTTAAAGACAATGTTTATATAAGACAAACAAGCATTTTTTTATTAAAATAGCTTGAATTGTGTCAAAGATCAATGTCATCCGTTAGCTGAAGTTGTTTAAAAAATGGTATAATACATAGGCTTCGCTTCACAATATAAGGATTTTCTTTAACTTCACTCCACTAAATTGATGCCAGGAATAACTATACTAAGACAGAGTATTCATCCACTACATGGTTGCGAAGTCTTAGGTCACCTAGATGAAAAGAATAAATCAACACTGCAATACAGTAGCTTTCATTTTAAGTCACCTTCAACTCTTTGTTCGTCGGGAGTAATGGTGGCGCACTTGATGCCAACATTGTGCTTGAGGATGGCGTGCGCTGCGTCTATGGTCACCTGGTCGTCGGTAGCGTCTCTGTGCGGCAGACCCAAGTCGTAGTACAAGCAATCCAACTACAAAACAGTCCTTAGTATGTAGTCTATAGAAGAAAATTTCCATGTTCCATTTGATTATCAACTATCTTCACCTATAATTCTTATGTCAATTGCTTTACAGACCTTGCTAGTCTGGTGAATTTTAAGTTTTTTATTTTGTTCTTTTTACGACTAAACTTAAGTGGTTTAAAGTGAAAAAAGGTCTTAACAGAGAGACAACAAAGAAAATAAGATAAGGGTTCCGTTTTTTTCCTTTCGAGGTACGGAACCCTAAAAATCTAATTGATGAAGAAAAAGCAGCAAATACTAAGTTAAGAAATTTAAACTACGTTATATATTAAGTAACTATTCCTTAGAAAGCATACTATAATAGTGTTCAATTTAGTACTCCAGGGTCCGATAACCCGAGCGAGTCTTTACTGTTAGCCGAGTGCAATTAAAAACGAGTTGCACCAGCGTGGCGCGGCGCAGTGTTCCCCTTTGATAAATACGAGCTCTCGTACAGAAAGAGGACGAAATACCACAAGATCAGGTTTTGAGCAAGTTTATTTTAATCCCAAGTGCAGTAAAAGTGAAAAAAAACCAGAGTTGTTGACCTCAACCATCAAGAGAGATTTTAACAAGTTATATTTTACGTTTCGAAAAAAATATCCTAAACTTTTTGTTTCAATTCGAGTTCTGCATGTAATCAAATATTACAATTTTGGAAAATAAACATTTTACACTTCTCCATAAAAAAGATAGTAAAAAGGACTCTTTTAAGACGTGCGACTATTCAACTCTGTCCTTGGAATTTTCAACCCGTAAATTCTCCTTTGTTCCCGCGTTAAATGAAATAATTTCAACCTTGCAATGACAAAAAGTATACACATAACTCATTATAACAACATCCTGGTAACTTTTATACACTAAACTGTTATCGTCTACAACATTAGATAAAGAGAGGAGTTCAATTAACCGTGTACCTAACATGAACTTTGCTCTTTGATAAATTTACGTTCATTAATTGATCTTCGAATCGAGATAAATATCCATTACTCTGTAAAACTTAAAGCTGTATAAATAATATTTTCCGAATTACAATTTATTTACTGATAATCAGTAAGAAAATTATACTTTAATTGGATTGAATTTATTTATATCCAAAACTTTTGGAATCATCCTTTCATAGTAAGCTGGATAATACCGGAAAATAAAATGACAACTCACGATAAAGCTTATCAACGGTAGCCGTTATCTTCGAGTTAATAAACAAATAATATTTAAAAATATTTTTAAACCGAATCCTATTTCAAGCAATTTATTATAAGTTTTTAGTTACTGTTTTAAATTGGATTCCTCCACGTTGTTCTACTGGTCCAATCTTTTCAACAAATTTTGATACCCATTATGGGGAGTTGTGCAGTAATATGTCATCCGCCATTTTTATTAATGGCAGCCATTTTATTTTTCACAGTGTAACATTAAGTATTTGATACCCATGTAGTGTAGTTTTACAATCACACTGGATATAAACATTTTCAACATTAGCACCAAATAACAGAAAAATCTGTCAACATGAACTGGGTTTAATATAATATAGGTTATAGAATCTGTACAGGATATACATATGTATGTCCAAAATATATTCACAAAAATAATCGATGAGCAAGCTAAGAGTAGGAATTGTAAAAACTTCGAATCGTATCTGACTCAAAAGAGCTGAAGACAATATTAAAAAAGTTGTAGAAAATAAAATATTAGCGGTTATTATTATAATGAGCATTCTTACAGAAGCAAACAAATAGCGTTCATGTGCAGTATTTGTAAATCGATAAGATACTGCAGCGTTCCAATCTAAACGTTGATCCAATAAAGCTTATGATAAACTTAAGACCACTGCGCCACGACAATTTTAAATTCAACATATTTAAATGTCATGTAATGTCAATATTATATTTTCATACAAAAGTAACAATCCCAAATCTACTTTAATAAAATTTGGTATTAACTTCTATATTATATTTAAATTTTATATTTTATAGCTGTTGCCAGCGACTCTATCGGTGCGGAATTAGAAAAAAAAACTTAGTTGCCTATGTGTTCTTCCAGACTATGTTCTAAGATGTAGATAATACCAAATTTCAGTAGAAATTCATGCAGACGTTTTGGATGTATCTTAACAAACATCCTTCCAACCGTGTTCCATCCATCCAAAATGTTATATTGTACATACGTAAGATAAGGTAATATCTGTCGGGTGCTAGTTAATCATTAATTTCATATCAGTTTGATATATTTTCAGTAAAGTAAGGAAAACAACTTTCAACTGTTAACAGGTTTTCTCTTTGATTGGTAACAGAAATTAAACGAAAGTCCGTGACTGTCCGCACGGAATTAAAAAATCTAGTAATAAATATAGCTAACCTAGCCAATGTGTACACAGTGATAATGTTGCTTCCTTAAACCAAAAAAAAAATGTTGAATTCGGTCCCGTAGTTTTTTTAGTTTATTCGTGATATACAAAAATATATATCTTTCCTCTTTACAATATTAATACAGACGTGTATCGTTATTTAATGCAGACAAATATCGGGCGGTAACAAGTTTCTTAAAAACTGGTTTTTAAATTCAAGTATGTCATGAAATTCTTCAAATTTTAGACAATTTATAATCAACCAGTAATAAAAAGAAAGATCACAATTATCAATGTTATCAAGCTTTATCGTAAGCCATACTGAAATTTTACCACACCTAACCATTTAAAAAAAATGAAAAACATACATTGTTACCTCTGATTAGATAATTATTTGATTGCTAATTGATAACAATGTTATGTAAGTGAGTTACCTACGTCAAACTATTTACTGCAAACTACAATGTTTTATACACAGAGACGTTTAACTTACAAAGTCTTCAAAACAAAACCTTGTATAAATATTACTTCTTACTAATATTATAAATAAAATGTTTGGAAGGATGGATGGATGAATGTTCGTTTGAAGCTATCTCCAGAACGGCTACTTGGATTTCTTTGAAATTTGGTATTGATGTAGAACATAGTCTAAAAGAACACACAGGCTCCTAATTAAGTTTTTTTTTAAATTCTCGGTAGGCGAAGTCGCAAGCGACAGTTTTCATTTGTTTTTAATTTTTTTATAACAATAATTTTATATTCTTTTGTAAGGATTATTCATATCACATAAAGTTACCGACGAAACAAACAGGTCGTTGACCTACGTATATACGTGATTCGCCTACCCATGATAGTATTATGTTAATAGTAACATGTATTTAATAGTAAATACAATCTTAGCTTGCCTTAGAAATAAAAAAGTCGAAAATTGCCGAACATTAAAGGGTTTTATCACTCAAAAAGTTAGTGTGATTGGTTACAAAACAGTTGACTGCGATAACATGTATTATTATACAAATTATTCAATTTTTTCTATGAATGTTTAAATTTATGTAAATTGTATATATTTAAAATACAATGGGCAAATATTACGTAAAAGTGTTGAAAAAGTTTACTGACAATGGCAAAAGTATGTGTAATCAGAGATAATACAATGAATTACTTCTGTGCAACCAAAAATATAAATTTATCTTAATTGTCTTATACTAACAATGATATTTCATATTACAATGTTGTCATTACTAACATCAACTACATCTGGCCACTAAATTATTTAAATTCACAAAGATAAAAGTTTGTAAATACATTGTTTCATTTGGATGTTCGGGGAATAATTCAAATAACATTCAGCAATAAGAATTTTAAATATTAACATGTTAAAAATTATGAATCATTGATATATCTTTGGATTATAGGGAGAAGTTTTATTAATTTAAAGTATTAAATGTGTATTTGTAATAGATATTTACCTTAACATATGGAAAGATAAGTTTCTCCTTAATTTTTTCCCATATAATACGAGTCATCTCATCTCCATCCATTTCCACAACTGGCTTTGAAGCAACAACCCGTTTTGCTGTTCCATCTAAAAGTACAATTATAAGTATTTAATTATTTACGATTGACAGCTTTGTAATTTACAAGCATTACTTATATACTGATGCAAAAAAAACAGAGGTATATCATTCATTAAATTACAAAATAACGTTTTTATCCATTGTGGCACTATTGTTAGGGAAATACTATCTGATCATGTCAGTATTTGAAATATATAATCTTCTCAACTATTTTAGCCTTCTGCGGTAGTGAAGGAGAGTAACAGATGAATATTTTTCCCAGACACATTAAATTCTAAATGAGCTGTCAGCCTAAAATTAATGATTGAGACTTGCCTAAATAATTTTCTTCTATTGTAAAAATAAAAGCTCTTATGACAATATGATTTTTATAGAGGAAAATATGTTACCCCATGTAAATAATACATCACATTGAATTGATGTTTTAGGTTCAGATGCTTAATTGAGAACAATTGGCAATCATCATTCATTGGCTTAACTACTTGTTACCCAATGCTAGAAAATATATAAAGCAAAAATAGGACTAAACTATAAAAAGGTAATAACTGAAGGTATTATATGAACAAATATTAATGTTGTACAAAAATACTATACATTAATTTAATTTTATAGTTCTTCTAGTAGACAGATTTAACTTTATTATATTATATAAGCAGTCTGGAAAAATTATTGATATCAATTATACCAAATTTACTTTTTATTACAACTATACAAATAAAATTCTGAAAATATTAAATAATTATATAAATATGTACAAAAACTTGAATGTAAATAAAAACGTGATGTTCCGGATTTTAACCCTCAACATTTTTAAAATTAAATTATGCTTTTTAGATTATTTTACTTTTACTCACAATTTCGGACCAAGGAACTGTGTTCTGTAAGGCACTGTAGAAGCCGACTTGCACTTTTGCTGACCATGTTATACTTCAAAAATCTACCACCCACTGACAACAACTGCAATAAGAGAAAGAGACAAAATGTATCAGAAAAACAAACGCTGGATAAACGTGTCAAATAATGAACTAATTATTGATACGAGTTAAATGACTTAAACAAACTTTTCTCAGTAATTAGTAATAACTAGGGAAGTAATCTTAAATTGGCTATAGTATAGTAATATAATTTAATTTAATTTAATTAAAATGTCTGTAAATCTCGACGCTAACCTTACAAATGATTGTGTTTTATTTTGTGGTGCTATTCGCTCCGGGTAGAATAGTTTGATACCGGCACCGGTCTAACGTATACGTGTACACAAAAACGCTGGCGGATAACGCGATACAACGCTATTTATTCTGTGGCGAGCAATGCGATTGAATGAGGCCGGCCGGCTCCCTGGCGCTGGCGCTCGCAAACGCAACGTATACCAACGTACTGTAGTTGTGTCAAATTAAAAATATTCGTTTGTCTTTCATTCGGTACTGCTGGACGCTGTACGTCTGTACGTACGCCTTCTCTGTCGCAACAAGTGTGATCCACGCGATATTATATTGTCAAAGAAAAATATTGGTTAACTTTCCATTTTGGTATTCTATCTTCTCTACGCATGATATTTTCGAAAAGATCTGATTAAAAGGTGAGATGAATTACAAGTTATTTTCTTATTACTATAATACTAATGCATGCAGGCAATGTTATTAACATATTACACTCTATTTAGTAAAAATGGAACATATTAGAATGATTTTTGTTCCAAAAAAAAATTATAAAAATGAATTAAAGAATAACAATTCCTTGATTGTTATGATTTTAACGATAAATTTATAAAAATTGCTTATGGTACGTGTCCACGCAAACAGAACTATTGGATCGATATGAATTGAATTATAAACTTTTGATAAGTAGGTATTTACTATTTACTAGTCTACCTTCCTATATGGTTGCACTGTACATATTCATTGTGATAAAGATTTTTCTTTTAAACCCTTTTTTTCTTATCTTCCTATGATTAACATTGTTAATTTATTAAAAAATATAATTAAAATGTAAAGCTTTTATGCCTGGTGTTAGCGGTTGCGTTTAGCCTCGGGTGGGGCATTTCGAAACAGCTGCATCTATTTGTGTATCTGTAACATTTTTTTATTATACCCATAAGTGATAACGCGAAACAAGGTCATAACTTAATTATGTACATAAGAGAAAAGTAAATTACGGATATGTTAAGTCATATTTGTTAACATTGTATTACTTAAAAAATATTAAGTAAAAACTCGAGATCATATTTCTTACTAATATGAGGAACAAGTCTTTTCATATTAGTAAGTCACTACAAGGTTCATACATAAATTCGCTGTTCCCCATAACTAACATTAGTTTCAATTATTATTACTTAAATTATACAAATACACCCACTACCTACTTATCTGCCCGAAAATGGAACTGACGACAATCAATACACGTACACATGACTGCAGTTGCTACTACGATTATGCCGGTATTAAATATTACGTAATATTTACCGTTATACATTTGTTAATATCTATATTCACGTAAAAATTTCGTATCCGCGAACAGATTGCATTCGTTGAACTCTAACACAAAAAATTTCGTATGAAAGTGTTTCAGTAGTATGCCCATACCAGCGTGCATTTCTGTGGCCTAAACAATTAACTTGGGCCTGAGTTTATATAGTTTTGTATTATTGTTTTTGATTTGTATTTCACTCATTTGTTGTCACCTTATGCTATGTTTCTTTGTAAACTAAGATTTCGTGTTTGTTGACTAACGTTATCGTGTAACCTTGACTTTTCACGAGTATGGCGGTAAAAACATGCCAAAATAAACAAGAATAATATGTACGTACTAATGTAAATTTAAGAGATATTAATTAATAACAAAACTCAGCTCAAAGAACTCTGTGCTCTAACAACAAAAGTGGTTAGTTAAATAGGATTTTTTTTATTGTAATCTGTAATTTTTTTTGTACACTATTTTTACAGCGTATAAACAAAAATGTGCGGGTGTGTAAGAGTTCTCAGCATTCGAAAGCCACTACCCCGGTCATGGCATCGAAGGCTATTTAGCTCGTCGTCAACACCGCCTCCTCCTCAAGGCGTACCCTACACAAAATTAACTGTTGGGGTACCAAAGGAAATATGGCAAGACGAGAGAAGGTATGTTATTCAAACTACAGGTTTTCACCAATCAGCATAAAGTTGATATTTTAATATATTTTTATCATTCGCAGGGTTGCCGTGGTTCCAGCAGTAGTTAGTAAACTAGTAAAAAAAGGTTTTAATGTAAACATAGAGGAAAACGCGGGTCTTTTAGCAAATTTTCCTAACAAGGCGTATGAAGAAGCTGGTGCCAAAATAACTAGTTTAAAGGATACATATCAATCAAGTTTGTATTAGTTCTTTGACAATAATAAACTAATGTCTAGGTATACCTTCATGAAAAAAATAATAATTTATTTTTATTATAAATTATTTATTTATTTTATTTATAAATTATTATTTTTTTCATGAAGGTATCATGAAAAAAATAATAATTTATTCCATATTTTTTAGATATAATCCTTAAGGTCCGTCCTTTTATCGAGAATGAAGTTCCAAATGTCAATGATGAAAGCTCGGTTATTTCATTCTTGTATCCAGCTCAAAATCAGGAATTAATCAAACAATTAGCAGCGAAAAAAGTAAATGCATTCGGTAAGATTCGACGTGGTTGGCGCTTTTGGCTAGTAGGTATTTTGATACAATTTAGAAACAGGGTATTTTTTTAGCTATGGACTGCATACCGCGGATCAGCCGTGCGCAAGCGTTTGACGCGCTCAGCTCTATGGCCAACGTCGCCGGATATCGCGCTGTCATCGAGGCCGCCGCACACTTCCCGCGATTTTTCTCAGGTACCTACAGAATACAAATAATGCATATACCCTTTTTTGTCACTTGTAACTTTCTACCTGTTTTAGGATAGAATAGCATTGCTAAATACACTTTACGCCAGACCTTTTTTTTTTGGGTATTTTTGATTTATTGTAGGTACTTATATGCAGTAAACCACGTGGCCGAGCGAAAATATCTTTAGAGTATAGTTTGTAACAGAATGAAGTTAACGGCATCATCATTGGTTGTTGTGACGTCCAGGTCAGATGACTGCGGCGGGGCGCGTGCCCCCTTGCCGCGTGCTGGTTGTAGGCGGCGGCGTGGCGGGGCTAGCGGCGGCGGCGCAGGCGCGCTGCATGGGCGCCGCCGTGCGCGCTTTCGATACGCGTCCAGCTGTGCGCGAACAAATCGAAAGTCTCGGTGCACAATTTATCACAATGGATATGACGGTATGTATTTATTTTCCGTTTGTATGACAAAGGAACAAACTTCTTTCGTCTAGAAGTGTCACTATTAGCTCAAGAAGAATAATTTTTAATAATTGAATATCGATAATTCGATAATATCCGACTTACCCAAGTATATCAGGGATCCTACAAACGACTAAAGTAACTAAAATTTATATTAAATTGGTCCGTAAACATCTATCGTAAATTGTGTGCATATTTTGAAAGATTTTGCAAAACTCTTAAAAAAATACATTATGTTGATCATGACCTATTTTATTTTTGAAAGTTATAAAAATTCACAACTAGACTTTTGACCTACTTTTAGATATCGGAAATAGACAAGTAATTAGAACCCAAAAGTAGATGACGAAGCGATGCGAAAACATTAACAATGACCTTGAAACTTATATTCTTGCTTGTGATTGTTACAATAATCAATAGTGATTGAATATGATTATACTGCCAATGTAACTGATTGTCTTCTCTAATAGGAAACATATCTACAAAATATTTAAGAACTAATCATTTATTAGATTATAAATCTTATCCACCATCACATCACAATCATGACTTATTATGCAAACGATAAAATTTTATTGACGTAATATCTAAAATAAACACCATTTTTATTTGCTTATAATGGTATTTACTTTTCAGAGGTGGTGTGCACCCTAATCCTTGTGGTTGGGGTGCAGCGTCCACCCTGGCCTTGGCTGCTAGCGCCATGGTAAATGTCCTAGATATCACCTCTATGTAGACATAGACGTAACGTTGTCACGTATCTTTGTATGCCCTATTTGTTTACAGCTATTTCCTTTAGAAATTTACGAGTGTTTAGTAATTGTTGTCTATAACAAAGTGGTCCTACAGCAGACATCGTTACATCGTAAATCATCCTCGTCACGTTATATTTATTCATATAATACGTTATTTCATATTGAGTAACCAATGTAAACAAAGTTATATTGTGATAATAATGTTCTTAATAAGTACTTTAAAGAACAAAGCCTTTATCTATTTTTAGTCTTGTCGTCTTTTTACATAATTCATGCCCGAATACTGAAACGTCACTCAAATATGTAACGGCGTCTTAAAAGATAAGACCACGCTTAAACTCCAATATGGAATTCTCAAACGTCAGTTAAAGGCGCATCTCAATTTTGAGGCTACTCAAGTAAGACGATGCTTAAAGGCCACTCAAACCAAATTTCGTATTCTCAATCGTCACTCAGTGTCATTTTTCTGTCAAATGAACTGTCATGTCGACTTAAGTTTGTCAAAAATTTAAGAGCGGTCGTGAGGCATCTCAAATCTCTCTCAAATCTCAAAAACCTTACGAGAAACCATGTCTGTATCGTAATTATCATCGCTTTCGGACCATGAAAGGCCTAGTGTGTGTCGGCGAAACCCAAAAAATCCTCGATGCTTTTGAAAAGTATACGGATGCGGAGTTTCGCGCAAGGTTTCGCTTGTCTACAGAAACAGTACTGTATTTGGACACCGTCTTTGAACCACCACCACCATCGTAAAACCAGAAACACAGTTGAATGGCTTTTTGGCGTTCTAAAACGAAGGTGCATTCAAGTGGGGATGGGTTTAAACAAAAATGTTCCTGCTGGCGTCATATCATGTGCAGTATTGCACTTTTACAGGACGATTCACTGTTAGAGGAGGACATTATGAACATGGAAGATTTTACAGATCCACCTGTAGACAATGAGTCTAATGAAAATTTCACTGTTAGAATAACCTTAATAATACACATTTCTCTTTTTCAACTTGCTTTTATTTTTAAAAACATACAATCTTTATTATTAACAGTGGCAGGTTTATTTTATCTTAATTTAAGTATTTGCATTTCTAACTTATGTTTATTTATCATATGTTTTTATTCTAAATCAGCATTTCTTAGCTTGGCTCTAAAATAGGCTTGCTAGAGGTCATCCCCATGCCTTTTTTGAATTGTTTTTTTTTTGCTTTTAC